ATCTGAAAGCTGATTTGGAAGTTTTGTGAAGAGCTTTTTCTAATCAATACTGAAATTACAGGAAGTTTATAAGAAATAACAAATTTAGATCAAATAACGAGGAAAATTCGAGACGAGCACGAGTTTTTACACTTTCCGGAGCAATAACTTGCTTCATTTCCGTCAAATTCAAAAAGTTGATACGTCATACAAAACTAGAAGATTTTCTCTATCAAACGGTCGCTAAAGCAGCTTCATACGTCCAGTACTCAAAAAATGGCCACGTTGAGGATTTTTGCAAAATTAACGAGGAAAATTCGTGATGAGTGCGAGTTTTTACGCTTTCCAAAGCCATAACTCCGTTCAAACTCATGCAATCTGGAAAGTTAATACGTCATCATAAACTAGAAGATTTGCTCTTTCTATAGGCAACTAAAACTGCTAAATACGTTCACTATTTAAAAAATGGCCACGTTGAGGATTTTTGCCCGAGTACCGCCGAAAGGTACTTTTTCGCTACATTAGCACTATCCCAACGACTATAGCTCCTTGCAGAAGTTAGGGAGCAGATTCAAAATCCTCGTGCTTTTCTCTCTGCAAAAAGTGTAAAATTGTTTAGCGGGTCTCAACTTTAAAGGTTACATGCTTGTGAATTTGACGCTGAAGGCTGCGTTTCTTGTTGAATAGTGTACTCCTCTCTGTAATTTAACATGAACTCTTTCAGAACCCTCTTGATTCTTCCTGAATTAAGATTCGTTATCAAGATAGCCGTAGCTGAAGCGCGCGCAACCAACTGGGCCCACTCTGGGATGCGCCGTGTGCTTCACATCTCGTTGGATTTGAGGACCTACTTGAAAGATAAAATATCCCTAGAAAACGTGCGAATTTCGGATCCTTTGACTTGTGTGGTGATGAAACACTAAAGTCACTAAGAATTGCTAAGCGGACACCTCTAAATCACGAAGATTTTGTGTGGACGGAATCAATTGTTATTGGAAATACTCTGGCCTGGTATCGATTCGATCCTTAATGTTTGTCCTCCGACGATGATCCTACTGTATCAATCGGGCCCGATCTCTCCCCAGCGGGCCAATACGACCCCCCCCCTCTGTGACATGTCGAGGATTCCTCAACGCACGCTTGACCCTGCCTCGTTAGGTTGTAAGAACCGGTGACAGCGGGAAATTTATGGACGAAGGACCACTCAGTGATGAGATATTAATTAATGTTGATGTATTGCACTCCTTTTGACTACAAGACTCCAGTTTGTACAGATTACCCCACTCCAAATTTTTTCGTCGCTAAACAGCTGCAGAGGAGAGTTCTACTTTGCTTTTAGGTGTGAGAGTCAATACGGTAATATCTAGAAAGGGCAGGGAAATGTAAAATATCCTCTCATGGATGAAGGTTTGTATGGAAATATTGATGGCTCAAGTGTTGTCTAAACCCCACTTTCATCTTGATTCCAAAATGTCAGAAGGTCGTATGGAGGAACCTCTCCAGGAAGGTAGTGAATATTGTGAAAACGACTCGAAGTGACAGCGAACCCTGATAGGAGGTGTGAAACAGGTCTAGCAATAAATGAAAGCACTAGCACAATAAATGAAAAGCTGAGCATAAGTACCAAATTAGTGAACGATTTCATAACCTTCTAACGTAGAAGACGAGAATATGAAAACAAGCACATGACGAATTAAACATGTGAAAATCCACTGGAAGGAACGAATCACAATTTAGTGGAAAACTGATTCAATACTTTCCAACAGCCAAAGAATGAAAAATATGGACTGCGATGAGCAGGTGAACTCGTCATTGTTGTAGGGACATACAAATTTTATTTATAGAAAATACATAGAAAGATCATAGTGCTATCATTATAATTTCAATTCAACGGATTCGCCTAAACATATCACTAATATCACGCACCGATGAAAAAAATGTAATAAATTATCTCCGAGGAGAGACACAGTTCAACGGACATTTTAAAAAATGAGACGTGCATTTGTATATATAATGGAACAATATGTGACACTAACGACTGCTGTACGAAAATCTCTGACCTGGAAATGGCCGTTAACATCGCTTCCGGGCATCATTAAGGTCAGTTACGAACAAGGTATGTCGCGGAAGAAAAGTGAACAACCTGCGCAACTCACTGTGTACGATGAGCATTTGATTCGATGGACAGAGTTTCCGACGAGCTGCTTTGTAGCTCCATCTTGGACTCAACTCCTAAGGTCTCTCCAATCAACATTAAAATCGATGCGGGGGTGTGCAACAGAGCGGCGGCTGGTAGGCACATCGTAAAGTGAAAATTTCCGATCGTGAATTATGCACACGCAAATTTTACCGTATGGTACATTGTCTCTCTACTGCTCCAAAAACAAATGAGAATAATATTTAATTGCGTGGTGAATGTGCCTGTGGTGTGGTGCAACTGGCCCTTCATAGACACTTGATGGATTGGGAATGAGACAATCGACAATTCGGATATCATCAGAATGTCAAAGTCTAATCGGTGTAATGATTTCGCTAGAAGTTATACGAAATAAATATCAAAATTATCAAAAAGCAGAAAGGAGATATTTGAGACCCGAAAAAAGTTCCTCTCAAAATCCCTGCACCTCCCCGGCACGTCTTGTTACACGATTGATATGCAGATGGAAGTAAAGCCGAGTCAAAGTAAGGATCAGGAAACCTTGAAGATCTGGATTTAGCAAGATGCAACTGCCTAGATTTCGTGAACTACATTCATATCCACACCTTTGACGACATTTTTTTGTAGCTTTTTTTTTTTCCACCAACAGTCGTTCACCCACCAAAAATTTTACTATTAATCATGAGTACATTGTTTATCGAGTTCGATAATGTATGTGGCGTGCCATGGAGCACGAAAATACGCCAAACAAATTAAGCAAAACAAATCTCTTTCATGTGAGTGTGTCCACGTTGCCGTCAGTGGTTAAGAATAAATTACCCAAACTGGTGATTTCACAAATGATGACTCGGGCACCTTGAGAACCTGGAAACTCGTCCATAACCAATGCCTTCTAAACGTGAACGCGAGCTAGTTTACTTGCGCAAACCTCAATAAACATCTATAATTTAAAATCATTCTGCCACAACTTCTTCCACATTCTCCCTTCCATCTAAAGCAGGGTCGTAACGCAACCGAGGCCAACCAGCAACATCCTTCTGCTTCATAATAATTTCCACCTGAAACCGAACAGTTCGAAAAATTCTAATTGGAAAGAAGATTATCGAAGGAATTGAAGAAGATCAAAACAAAAGATGAGGCCTTACCTTCCTTTCTCCTACTACAACACGACTTTCACTACATATAATTTCACCCCAGAGATCATAGATAAGATCCGTTTCTTTCTTCCCAAAACCATGGACAACATGGAGGCGCAACATCTGCCCATCGCTGGTTACTCGGACGTCATCAGGAACCGCACCCTGATCATAGAACGATTGATTATATTCACAAAATTACGAGAAACGGGCAACACTTACTTTGCAATACACATTAATTGTGATCGTTCCGTTACTAGAAAACCAATCATCTCGTATGTTCTCGACTTTTTCATTCTAAATGGGACCAATATGATTAGCAAACGTCAGACGAAAAGGCAAAACTTACTGCGCTCCACTGATGCTTTCCTCTCTGACAGCCACCTTGCGCTAAGAAAGCGTTGAAGTTAGAAGTCTTCTTCTCACAACAAGACCAATACTTCATGCCTTCATGGAATATTGCCTGGCCAGGATGGTGAATACATGGTGTTGCGTCTGACTCCGGACCCGAATATGACTAAAATAAGAATAGAGAATCCAACTGCAGATGGGTTGTGAGCTGTTTTTTTTTCATTTGTACTCTCGGCCGTGGTCCGATATCGCGATCGCAAAATCGCAGTCGCCGCAGCTCGTGTGGTACGCGTTGAGACTTGGGTTAGATCACTATTTCAGACATCACCGTGTTTCCTATGCATTCGCAGAAAGAAGGGCTACCAAATATGCCCCTACAACGAGTGAACAAGAATGATGACAAAAAGAATGACCTAACGACCATCGTGTATCACATGCGTCATGATGCTTGCAATGTTGCTATCGCAGGATCGCATGAAAGACTAGACGGCAGTCGCAAAATATGACCGCAGCCCAAAATATGACCTTAGCCAATGAACATTCCAAATGGTAGAAATACTTAAAATTATGTGGCATCTAAAGTTTACCTTATCGCACGCGTTGTTCCTGCACGGTGCTCCAATTCGTAATTCATTACTGGTTGGATTGTTCCTTGTTGTTCGCGATAGCGTTGCAAAGCCGCTTGGGCGCCAGGAGTAACATCCATCTGTAATCAAACCTATTGTTATTGGAAATTATCTTTCTTTCAAATAAGAACTTTTCTACCCAAATCACCATGTTTCCAGATCATGTATACCGTTCGAAAAGCATAATCTTCCTCGCATAAATTTATGTTTTGTTGCTGATTTTGATTCATGTTTTTCTGCCTTCGTTATGAATAGCTTCAAATTCATCCTCGCAAAATAAGCGGCCCGAATAGTGCGCTCGACAAAAACTAGCGAAAGCGGCGGGCAGCAGGTTGCCCAAAGACCGACTTCTCTGAACAGTTCACACACTGTGCAACCTTACCTCGCATGCAGGCGATTCGCTCGATTCCGCAAACTATGAACATCGCGTTACGGCAATGACAATCTCATGAAACTCCCTATGGCCTTTTGTGAGCAAAAAAATAACATTTTCCCCTAAAACGGCTCGTGTTATATTTATATTTACATTCGCCGCTTTTCTGCTCTAACTTCGACATATTTTTGTCTATCGACATTTGTTGCGCATCAGCCGAGTTTAACACTACTCTCATGTGCCAGTCCAGGAGATGACCCATTCCTGCATAAAGGTACACTAAAAACGATGATTAAGATAATCGACCACGCACTTCATTCCAAACTAAAAAACATTTCTTAAAATGTCCCCACATTCCACACACATCTCTAGTTGAAACCTTTGAGATTTAGCTCGACGTTATGCAAGCACTCGAGTTTTGGCAAAGACCCAAATTGGACATGAATTACAGCCTATGTTTTTTGAACCTGGAGAGTTGAAATATTTGCCGTTTATTGAGACTTTTGGTCGCCTAGGACCTCACATATCGCGAGTTTCAATTCCAACATGCTTAAAAATTGTAAAACTAAAGAGGAAATTTAATGGAGCACATAATTTTCTTTCGAATGGTTTACGGAACGATGTAAAAAATATGGAAGATTAGCAGAAAAATCCCAATGAAAAACGAAACAACATAAGACAAACAAATAAATGCAAACAGACCACTTCATTGCATGAATAGGATGCCAAGGATACTGACCTTCAGAGCTACTTCCTTCCTTTCTTCTTCCGCCTTACGTTCAGCTGGTTTGTTCAATCCTTTCCACACGATGACATCTTCTTCCTCAAAAGATAGACTCACATGGATTCCAAGTAGTCATGTCCATATAATAGATGGATAAACCTGTATGGCCCTCGAACGATGATCTCAAATCTACCTTCCAAATTTGTTAAACGATTATAAAGGGAGTTAAGAAGCAAAAAAGAGCAGTAGTCGACGTAGGATCGACCCCTTAGCATGTCTGCTGTTCTGATTGTTTTGGACCAGCTAAAACGATTTTTACAGCCTATTTATCTGTATCCGAAAACGGAAAGTACTAAGCGGTAAGGAGTCCAGCTTATGGCGTCCTGAGTGTGAGACTCGACCGCTCCATTACGCTCTTTCGCTTCCTGATCCTCTCAGAGAATCAGACTCAGCCTTTTTTTCTGGCCGTATCTCCTTCACAGCGGCCACTTTCACTATGTCAGCAGGTTTTTCCCCATTATGCTTCCCACGAGTACATCCCGGAAAGTTGAGCCCATACCTGAATCAGTGCTTTTTATTAGCAACAGTTCCCTATCTTGTAAGCATCGTGTACATGTATCGTGCGGCCCGTCGGGGATACTAAACTAGTCTGGAAGAAAAAAAATTTCTGTTTACGTATCATGAAAGAGATGGTAGAAGCGCCCAAAAAAAGTACCTGGTTATGTCGTCGGTCGAACTTCTGCCCGCAACCTTTGTTATAGCACTGAATCAAGTTGTCCTCGCTAGAAGACGATTCAGCAGGCATGACCTGAAATGCGCGCTTTCTTCTCCGATAACTACGACGAAACTTTGAATTCACGCAACTACAACAACGACCTGAAATGCACGCTTCCACGGCCACACGACTTTTTGGTATAGTATTATTGGAAGCACGGAATAACTACACAAGCATTAAAAAATACAACAAATCCACCACTGCTGGCGACACAACTTCCTAGGAAAACAACACAGCAAATGAATTGTGATTGTAAACCCATATGCAAAAAATGTGAAGAGCAACAGTGATTGACTGCTAGCTGCTTAGCAAAGGTATGGGCACCAACTTAGACCCAAAATTATTTGGATGTGGACGAACAGATCCTCACACTGGAACTTAGCAATTCGAAATATTATTTCAGCCAATATGTGATGTTCAAACCGTTGGGACAATGGGAAATTTCGAGAAACCCCATTCAAACCGTGTGAAATTGCGTAAACCCTACGGAACCCACACTTGAACTTACGGCTGAGTGCCTAATCAGTGGCCGATGTCAGACTTTGCGATTGGGGCGGTTTTGCACCAATTGCAGGAGCGATTGGTGCAAAATCAATCGTTGCCACGTCAGTCAAGGGTACTGATCGAAGGGTGTGGCAGCGATTGATTGCTCCCTGCCACAACGCCAATGCACATCACGCCACGTCGGCTGCGCTGCAGTTGGCGCCACCCATCGCTTCCCACATTCGCAAAGTCTGACATCGGCCAATCAAACGAATTTCTCAGGTGGGACCTATTTGGAAATTTGCAGCGCTTCTAACATTTCCGAATGGTTTTCTTGGGAGTGAGCCTAAACAGCGGTCAAGTATGTAGGCAGAGAAATGAGGACTACCGGACGCGGTCGCCGCTAATCCGCTGGTCACGTCGCACCTGCGGCTTCGTCCTACCTTCGACTTATGCGCGACGCATGGAGCCATGTCCTATCCCCCAAGAGACGCGTTCTCCGTAGCTGATTTCACTCTCAGGCTGGAGAGACGAGGTTGCGTCCATAGGATCCTCCGTTGAACGTTGATGGTTAGCTTGCCCCCAACTTTGAAAGCCTCTTCTCTCGGGTTCGCGCGTCTGGAGCCTAGAACGTAGAGTATGGCGTTCTATGCCTGATCCCTGTCGTCCCCTGTCGCCTATAGAATAGGATTCGTGCATCCTGCAAGTCTATCGTTGCGACCCTTGCCATTTAGGTCGTATGCTTCCAGTTGCAAACATGTCCTATTTAGCTCAACAATGGAGTAGGGCCCGCCTATTTACGTGAATAAATATCAGCCCCGACCTCAGTGAGTTCCTTGTCTTTGTCCCTGTATTATTTGCCGTATTGATATGCTCCAATTTTTTATAAATCTTGCTGTTCCTATCTTGCTCCAATTTTTTTATAAATCTTGCTGTTCCTATCTTCTGTTAGAAACTATGAAATAACTCTCCTAGCAGTGCTATGCATCTGGTTCTGTCGTGACTTCGTACGACTCATTCAATCAATGCTGTCCAATCAATCTCAAGGAGCAACGTCAGGTCCACGCACTGGGGTCCCATCGCGAGCTGATACCGTATCATGCAAAGAGATCATCAGTACCAGCGGCCTAAAATTGGACTAGCCAGTCTCGTCGACATGTCTCCCGCCTGAGCGGTCGTTTCGCTCTCCCCACGCCATTCTCATCTGTACTGCGTCACTGCCCGTCTACTCGAGGACGATTGCGGCCGTCGGATCAACGCGGATGGGGCAACTCTTGGGCCCGCTGCCGAGTCGGACAGCCCTGCATGACACACGTCTATGGCGCTGCGCTCCGGTATGCCCTCGAGGGTGAGGATCAGTTAAGGCCCCTAGTAAGGCGGTCAGTTCGTTCCTCAAGTTAGGTCGTTTATATTGTCACATTTCGCAGTTGCCAATCTTCTCATTAAATTTGACGATGATTGATTTTCTGCATTGCCATGTCATGGAAAGGTTTTAACCATTGATTCCTTATGTGGATTATCGTAGTAGGCTCGTTAGTGCTCAAGGTGAATCTAGTTACTCAATGATCTTTACTGCTTCCGGGAGCCTCAAATAAGGGCGATAGGGGCTTGGTAAGCGTTAAACTTGCGTAGGAAGCCCTTCAAATTCTCCTTTGTCGCGACGTGTCGAAGGCTCCACGGACTCCGCCGATGCGCCTAATTAGTTGAGCCTGAGAAGCGGCGCGACAGGTTCGTTGATCTTCCGAATTAGGTTTGTTACGAAGGGCGACAAGGGTCCGTCTTTGGGCCGAGCCGGTAGCCTGGACGTAAGGCAAAAATTCAGCCTTAAAGTCAGCGTGAACTTCGAGAGTATCCTTCCCGAAACTACTATCTTCATGCGTGTTGCCTCGCCCATACGAGCTTGCTCGTCTCTTATCGGTTGTACACAGACTCACACCCCAGAGAATTTCCGCGTGGTCGTTCAAAAGATTGCTCATATGATATAGTCACGCTATCTCCACTAGGCCTGGCAAGTCTTTCCGTCATAGTTGTATACATTGGACGTTGGCGCCACGAAGACTATGCCTGGGTTTTATGCTCGCATTCACGTGGAGCCCTACAATATCACAAGAATTCATGCGAGTTACCAGATCACGTCGTTAAATCTTTTTAAACATTGCCGCTCAATTATTCTGTCAACGGGATGATTCCAGGAATTTTTGAGTTGTTTAGACAGCCACTATGACAGCGAAATCGGTTAGACTGGAAGATGATGACCCGCTGCCCTCAGGAAGAGCTATCAGTCGTCTTTCTTCTCTCGCCAGTTCACTACGAAAAGCTCTTGCGTTGGAAGAACATGCGGTACCTGCTGGTGCAAGCTGTCAAAAGGAGCGGAACTTATGACCCTACCAGAACTGCTGAGCAATGGGGTTGTATATATTATTCTATTTCATTTGCTAAGTGATGCATTACTCTGTCGTTTGCTTCAAGTGGACGTGTAAACCTAAATTTTGAAGCGTGGACCTTCTATGAGATTTCATGGATGAAACAGTTGAACAGAAGCCAAGCCTCAATCAGCGGATCAGGTGCCTGCTTCCGTGCAGACAAGAGAACAACATTGAAAATATACCGTTTAGAATATTAGTAGATAAAATAGGCACATCTCGCACCTGGCCGTCACTTCACCCAAAGTGCGGCCAAAAGATTTTGGGCAGACGCATTGGAATAGCACAACTCTTCATTACAGCTGCCAGGACTGCATCGTGTTCCGGTCCAACTAAAAACTAAGGCCGTCAACCCGTTACAACGAAGCATTGAGGCGACGGTGACGGCAGATGACGTCATATTCTGAAGACGGTGGGGGCAGTGAAGGAGGGCCTGCTTCTGCTTATGGGGGACACCTAAGGAATATTCTGCCGTAAAACATTCATCAACAACGGCATCCTGTGCGACGAAAAATTTGATGTGCGCCATGGGCGAAGTGACTCTTTTCTTATCTCCCCCTCTGTATACTAGCTTTATGATCAGCTCTGTCCTGTTTAGGGAATACCAACACTGCATCCGGCTGAATGGTGAAATCATTCTATTACATAAACCGCTCGAGAGTGTATCAGTTTTTGTGCACATACATACATATGTAGTAGTATATCTGTCACTGTGTCTGTCTGTTTTGTCCGTCCGCGAAAATGAAGTGGCAAGGAAGCTCATGGGATAAACAAACCGCTAACAAATCGGGTAGCTTACAGGATTTGAGATATCAATGTTTTGTAGCAGGATAGTTGTGATAACACTCTTAGGGCTATATAAACACCTGCTTAGCACACTCCGTTCATTCCACAAGGTGCTGCAGTGGCAGATAGAGTGCAGAGGAAGGGACAGGGCGAGAGGTAAGCGGAAAAGAGAAACCTTCGGGGGAACAATTTGTATTGAGTTGTTCAGAAAATTCTGCGACACTTTGTCCAAAATTTTTGACTGTACCTTTCTTTTGTTGAATGGAAAATTTTAACGGAACACTATGGCATCCCTCCTGACTACAGCACAGATGCTAGCTGCAAGGACACAAACGGAGTGGCTTTACAGGAGCTCGAAAAATAAAATAGGTCAAAAGATGTGTTGATTCAGAGACAAGTTTGAAGCAGTTAAACGCTGCACGTAGCCTCCATTTACGCTTCTGCCGAAACCTCCGAAGATACACTGCAGCAATCAAATACCAAAACTACTGGAAAGAGTTTTGATTTTTCCTAAAGAACTTTGTTCAAAGTGTCGCAGGATTTTCTGGACAACCCAATAGTTGTAAGATTGTGTCGAAATACCTACACAAGACACATTGTTTGTGCATATGCATTCTCTACAAGAGGCGTTGATCTCAAAGCGACAGAGCTCAGCGGAAACCGTTAAAAGAATCGTTTACGAGGGATTCTTGTATTCGTTCCCAAGACCTCAGGTGAAGACCTCAGATGTGATCACTAAAGACAACGTACAAAGTTTCACGCAAGAAGATTCAGTTTCCGAAGAGAAACAGAAGTACGGAAAACTGCACTCTGAGGACGGTAGGGGTGTCGGGTGGAGACAGGGAGCGCGTGGAAAGAAGTGCGCCTTGCTCGGCCACGTTCAAACCATCAGAATCTGAATCGGATTAAAACGTCCGAATTTGGAGAAAATAACCTAAACTATCGAAAAATAGGGTGAGTAAAGATATGTTATTGCTGTAGGTGGAGAAGCCAAAATGATTTCTGGTGTACACACTTCAAGAACCAAGTGTAATCGTTCGCGTCGTTAACATTGTCACAGATGTACGGCAGGTATTTGACGCGTACAGTCTCTCGAACAGTTAACCAAAAAAAACACATTTTTTTGTTCTTTTCTTTTTATCGTGAAAGATAGAGATTTATTATGTGTTAGATAGAATCATGATTTTTCCATGGACTATTCCTTCAAGTATTTGCAGGAAAAGGGAGGCCCTAGTGGTGATCGGGGAAAAGCTGGTTTGCCTAAAAATTGTAAGCTGTGTGACGGAACGCACTCACACATGGTGAAATGTCGCCTAGTAGATAGTTCTATACATGGCGTACAGCCACCGACAGCTAACACATTCTTTGTCATTCTCACACCAAACTGCTGGAGCTCTTCCTTTAATGTTTACTCGAATCGATGTGCTAACTCAAAATGGCATTTCAATATGTGTATATTACCAAACACTCCTTGCTCTTCTCAACATTTTTAGCTGCTCTTTTCACCTTAACAGACATTGCCAATGGCATACAATCGTCTAGCACCCAGTGGCTGAATCATCATGATGTTTAGGCTCACTCGATCAATGGACTATTCTTCAAAAGCGTACATACGTTTCAGAAATCTATCGAAGAAAGCAAACTGCTCCAATCATCAAGAATGTTTGTACTTGTTCGCCCTTTGCTGAGTCTGATCATAGTGTAGTCGCTTTTGAAATCGCCATAGCACTGCCAGAGTTCACTCAGCTTCCTCTACCAAATTTTTTCAAAGCCGATTTTGCTTCGCTTTCTAACTACTTTTCTCTGATTGACTGGGGACGTGCATTTGAAGGATATAGAACTGTTGATGACCTCTACAAGATGTTCTGCCGCATTCTTTATTCTGGATTCGCTAAATTTGTGCCTTTTGAAACTAAGAAGGTCCAAAAAGTACGGTATCCAAAACACATCAATAATTTGATGGCACAAAAGGCCCGGCTTTTCTCTGAACTACAGGACTTTCCTCTGACTTTCTGTCGTTACAAGCAAATCTGTAAGGAACTAGATTATCACTTAAAAAGATTTTTTGCTAACAAAGAAAAGCGAGTCGCTTCTAGTCCCAATAAGAAGATGTTATTCGCTCTCATCAAAAACAAGATAAAGTCTCCGTCCTTTGTACCGATACTCCGTGATATTTCTGGTGAACAACTTTTGAGTGATTATGAAAAAGCGGAAGCTCATGCACGTTTCTTTTCATCAGTGTATACAGCATCTGTAGTCAATTG